ATTTTTATAATTTTTCATTCATTGTTCAAATGAAATGCACAACAAATTAATTGTGTTATAGGGACTAAGAGATGAATTCAGAAAATACCGAAGTTGTAATTTTGCAACTTTCCTGGGTGATTCAACGGTATTTATTTGTCAAATGAATGAAAGTAGAGGATTTACACTTTTATTTGATAGAAATTCTGTAAAAATATTCCATGTTGGCATAATATGGCAAAAAAAAAGGATTTTCAAGCCGTTTCCATTAGTGGCATTCCGACTTTCTATCTGGAAGGATTTCATGCTTTGATATTTGTTTTTCAAGGCATATATCAAGTTTTATTAATCATTTGTAAACTTTGAATCTAGAAGAAAGTAATTAACACAGAACAAATTTGCAAAATGTGTTGCATTTATGATCCTGGTCCATCGACCTCTGGAAGCAAATTAAATATGTTAAGCTAAGTACACCAAATGAGTATTATATAACTTCGAAAAGATAATACATTATACTTTAAGACAATCAAATAGTATAATTTTGCATTGCTTGAATTTCCTAAGTCTTAATCATGAAAAAAATTAATCGTGAAATTTGGAATTCTATGCGACTCTCATACAAGTGAGAGGTTTAGCTAGATATAAAACCAGGTTAAATCCACCATTTTCTACATGAGGAAATGCTTGTATCAAGTCAGGAAAATGACAGTTATGTTTCATTCGTTTGATGGGTGAGAGCTTTTGATTTTGCCATTTGATAAGGGACTTTCCGTTTTGAATTTTCCTTGGAGTTCGGTAATTTTGCTATTTTACTTTTCAATTCAAACATCAAAACTAAAAATACAAAATTTCAAATACAAAAATTGCGATATTGTCTTTAATATATATCATGTAGCCATGAAACGTCGTAAACTTTCTTATAATACACACAGCTTGAATCATGCCAAGTTTTATCAAAATTGGTCCGATGACATAATTATCAACTTAAGATCTTTGTTTTCTACAAATATAGTCCCATGTGTGGACATTGTATTACTTGCAAATTTTTTTTCATTCACCATCCCAATTTATTTCTTCATGTTTTATGCCTCAGGTAGAATGTAGGGAATGGAATTGCACTGTTAAAATTAAGGTCGAAGTTTCTCATTAAGATTCCACTAAATCTGTTTAAAAATCACCAAACATTGAGTGTTTTACCTATGTCATTTCATATACACATGTACTACATGTTTTCATTTGTATTATAGTAGCTTGTTCAAATATATGCCTATTTAGGTTAAAATTACATACAAGTTTATCACTTAAAAAACCATACTGTCTGCAACAAAATTGAATGCAAGAGTTCTTTTGCATTCAAGCTTCTGTCATAATATCTAAGCATAGAAATGAACAAAATAAACAAATATCCTTAATCGATAGCTCCTGTTTGCATTTGTGTATGTATATGTGTGAAACGGCATTAATTGACATACAAGTATTTTCTGCCTACCAATTTATACTCATGTGTTATGATGTTTGAAATATTAGAAGCAAGTAAATTGTGTTAAGCTAAGTACATTAAACATGTTAAAGTTGAAGTTTCCAATTAAGATTTCACTAAATCTGTATAAAAATCACTCAACATTGATTGTTTACCTGTGCCCTGTCAATTCATTCTAAGATATAAAAGTACTCAATTATCCAGGAACTATATAAATACTTTTAAAAAAATATTAGCACGTTTTATTGTTGTCAACATAAGTTTAAGCAACTTTTATTGGCACTTTTCATTGTTATAGACGCAAGTCTTAGTAACCATAGACCTATAGAGCTCTGAATTTTGTAAAACTCATATAGTCATCCTATGGTACCAAAACAAATGTTAATGTCGTTACGTAATATTGTAACAAATGTGCAATCATTGGCACCTTATTATGATACTAACAAAACATGTTGCAATTTTTAACTTAAATTCCTTCCCGTTTTTTGTTAAACAATTCATCTGAGCTGTAAAAGTACTCAATTATCAGGCCAGTACAAGAAAATGGGAAAGAAGGTAGAAATATTTGTACATTTTATCTTTGTCGACATAAGGTTTAGTAACCATAGACGTGTAAATCTCTTAATTTGTGAAAACAATATCCATCATGAGGTATCAAAAACAACAGAATTTAGTTCCAGTACATAATATTCTAAAATAGAAAAATCTTGAAAAGAACTTTTTCTCACAACAATAGTTATTTATCAAAATCAAAGGCTGAAAGAAATCACTGCATATTCTCTAGCTTTTCTTTTACAGTACATTTTATACCCGCAACCCTGTTCAATTTTTAAAGAATTTGAAAACAAGACTTTAATCAATGTCAGCTTACCCTATGTGCATGTTTTCTGACATAAAATGCGTAGAACTTGTACGAAACTATTCTGATAACAAATTGAAAGCATTTCAGAATACTATAAATGTGAAGTTTAGTAGCTTATCATTTCAAAATTCAAAATTATATAAAGTATCAAATCCTGCCTCTGTCTCTAGTCCACATCTTACTGCATGCATATTTATCAATAAAATGTCACAATTTCTGCCTTGAATGGTCAGTTTAGCAATCTTGTCACAATAATATTATCTCTTGCTATAAATCTAACATAATTTGGCTAATATACGACCAGAAGTGTTTAAACAAAGCCATATTTGCAAAAATTGTATTTTTGTCAACCAAAGTTTTCTTTTTAACTGATGACGTGAGAAGGAAATATTCCAAGGATTCGAGTTCATTTGCAAAATATCTAACACAAGATTTGCGATAAAGGTAATTTATTCAGAAACCATTAAAATATAATACAACTGACTGTTATGAACAATTATGTAATAAACTAAAACTGAATAAATGACAATAATTTGCAAAGGTGGGGAATAAATACCGAATAATAAACAAATTACAAAATCTATAAACAAACAAATATTGTACAATAAAAGATTGAAATCATCATCATATGAAATTTAAATTTTTTAATTTTAAAAATAATACATAAAAATATATATCTGTTAAAGAATCAAGGGAGTAGGTGGGTGGGAAATCTAAAATCTTCACTTTTCTTGAGAAAACAAAAATGGCGTCCGCTAGCATTCAGTGCAATTGCGAGAATGCTGGCTAATCTAAACACATGTGAAGAGATAACATGCACCTAATCCTCATTGGTGAATTAGATATCATTAAACAATCATACTGGTAATTAATCTTGACCCTGATCGTGAGATGACCATACTGACCTTAACTGCCTGTAATCCAAAAAACTTACATAATTCACAGACAACCCCATGCAAATTTACAGTTTCATATTACTCTTGATCAGAATGATTTCCTGACAAAAATGTTTTTATGTACTGTATGATAAAAAGATTGCATGAAATTACCAGTCTGATATATGAATTAACTAAAAGTTTTATAGAACTTACTGCCGGAATCTGTGTTTTGCATAAAATTCAAAGCACAGTTATTGCGTTCTATACGAAAGACCTTTATAATAATAAAATCATAGCCTTTACAGGCTAAATTATCTGTTTTATGACCCAGTGGTGAGGGATTTTTCTGTTTTTTGCCCCTGGGGCCTCAAATTTGCAAAATAATTCTGCTGTTTCTGTGAATATGAAATATTTAGTACATTTTTAGGATAGAACACACTATTGTTAGTTTTATTGATGAATTTTTGTATATCTAGCTTATTTTGTTTTATGCTGCGGTCACAAGAAAACACATGCAGGTGTTACGGCTTACTTTTGGGTTTTCGACAGAACAAAAACACCCCAACAACAATATTCATCAAGGATCTATGAGTTTCAATGACTGCTAAGAGTTAATATAAGCACTGCTTAACAATTTAAATCAGAAATTTGCATAATTATATTATTAATTGTCTTTGCATACAGGGCTTTAGGTAAACTATGCATATTGTAAACTGTGAATTTATGCTGAGCAATCATAGTAAAGGCCCAGGATTTTCTCAATCTTCATAAAAGATTTATAAAACTTTATATTTGAGTTAATTTTATTTAGACTCTGAAGATAAACCAGATTTGGTGAAATTCACATGTTCTCTTTTTTCACCCAATATAGGTTGCACTTCTGTAAATATAGACAATGCAATTTCCCATAGGAACTCCTTTTACGGCTAAAACTGTACCACTTTTACTATGAAGTTTCGTAAAAAATTATATCCTAGAATGGAAAGTTCGTATGCACTACTTTTTTTTAAAGGTCAAAATATAGGGCTGTGCAGCATATTTTCACCATTTATATGCCCGAACTTCTTAGAGTTTAAACTTATACTAAAATTCTGTACTACCCCTCCCTTCACTTTGTTGCTTCTTCAGAATTTAATTTCACCGCTAATCATGTCTATTTATACTGGTAACATTCCCAAGTTATGTCTCTACGAGATTAAACATAGAGATCATATCTGGGAACCAGTAGGTGAACAAAACAAAATATCTTTGAATATTATATATCTTCCAAAAGAGATGTGGTTTGCGAAACAGCTGTATTTACAAAGTGCAACCTATATAATCATGCGTAGCAAGAGTTGACAAAGAATACTCAATCCAAAAAAAATCCTAATAGTCCAACCCTGAAAATCAAATGCTCGTCTCCTAACGCTAATTACAATCGGCTAGATTTTTTTTTTTATTCAATCGTTCAAGTTTTTACAGCTGTTAAAAAAAGATTGTGATATCATTATATATGTCTGTACGTGACTGATGTCTTTTTTGGTTTAATAAGCTGTTCAACGTTTATATTAGGTTTTTGATTTTCAATACGTTTGACGCGAGTATCACTGAAATTACATTAATTGTTGCAATGTACATCTGGTGCAGAAAAACTGATACCGTTGAGTTATTATGTTATGAAGGGACTCTTTTTGTATTTGTGGTTCATAAAGTTCGACATAAAAGATTAAAATAACGGTATAACATAAGTGTATGGTATTGCTTTTGATACCTTTGGTGTTTGAATTTTAATTCAAATTTACGTTTTTGTTTCTTTCAGAACAAGGATGGCCTTATTTATGCAGACTTAGAGCTAGATCCTAGTCCAAGTGGGAAGAAATTTGTAATTAGGGGTCTCGAAAACAAAACAAATTATGCTATAATTGATCTGAACGTGAAAGTAGACCCTCTTCCATCTGATGATGATGACGACGAAGTTAAAGAAAACAAGACAGATGAAGATACAAATCAAAAGGATAGTGTTGAATAATAAGAAAACGATATTTTCCATGTTTTGTGCGATTCGGATACCCTGTTCAAATTACAACCGTTCGTAATGCTTTAGTTGTTTTTACTTTTGTTGAAATGATGAAAAAAAAAAAAAAGAATTAAAAAAAATTAATACAAGGGGACATTCAAAACTCATAATTAGAAGATAATAACTGACAACTCCATGGGAAAAAAACGCCCTACAGACGAAAATAAAATCAACAAAATAAGAAATCAAAAACTAAAGATTGACCAACAATAACCCTACCCAAAACAATTGAGTGAACTCGTGTGTTTTAGAAGGTAAGCAGTTCCTGCTCCACATGTGGCAACCATCATGTTGTTCATGCAATTAAAATTGTAGGTATTACATTAAATGTAGCATTGCTGGTTTCTTAAACCTGTATTACAGCATGAAGCACAACCATCGTTTGAATCGACCATTGGGAAGGTTTCAGTGATTAACAATACATTTCATTAAAAGTGTTTTCCGTCTTTTCCTAAAACAAATTTGTAGAATATCCACAACAATGAACAATACCCTTGGTTTAACATAAATGTCATATTCAAATCAAATGAAAAGAAAAGTAATTTGTATGTGTTGTGTCAATGTTTTCAATATACAATTACTCTGATGTTTTTGTATATAGAAAAAAACATGTGAAATTTTTTTAATTATTATAACTATTTGAACCTACTCAGTATTAAAACAAAGATGTAGTATTTAACAGGTGTTCAATAGAATTTGTTTTTTATTGTAATCAAAACGGTTGTTAAACTATACAATTTGTTCTTCATCCTCCTGAAATGAAACATCAAATAATTATTGTATTGTCTATATATTATAAAGCAGGTGTATGCTAAACGCATTTATCTACGACTTAAACGTAGTACACAAAGCGTGAGGCAAATATCAAATATAATTAAAAGCCTAGAAAAAAAAAAATATTTTACTTTAATTTGTACATAACATGTTGTAGCGAATCTGTTTTGTCGTTGTTGTTAAGGCTTTTGTACATATCTTCATATAAAATGACTATATAACAAAATGACAATCAGTCAGGTTTTTACAGTTTAACATTCAATGAAAGAAGTTTAAAACACTAAAACAAGCATGATGACCAAACATATAGCTTCTAAAGTCTGGCAGACTTATGCCTTGTCAACAATCTGCATGGCATTTATTTGATTCAAATAAATAAAACGTGTGATATAATGCTACATGTACCTGTTTTGTCTAATATTTTGTCTTATATTTAAAGCTTGTATTTACAAAAATACATAAATAAAGAACAATTGCCTGTTGATTTATTCTAAACATTAAAAAAATGTTTCTACACAGAGACATCAATTGCCTTAGCCGTGTTTTGCATAACTTTTTAGTTATTTTCGGTTTTGTGTGTGTCTCTGTCCTGTATGTTCTCCCATTTATTTGTATTTTAGTCCTGTCATTTTGATGTTATATTTAACATTGCCATAAAAGCGGGAGGTTTGGCTAGCCACAAAACCAGGTTCAACCCACCATTTTTTCTTTAAATGTCCTGTACCAAGTCAGGAAAATGGCCATTGTTAATATTATAGTTCGTTTCTGTGTGTGTTGCATTTTAGTGTTGAGTTTCTGTTGTGTCGTTGTTCTCCTCTCATATTTGATGTGTTTCCCTCAGTTTTAGTTTGTAACCCGGATTTGTTTTTTTTCTCAATCGATTTATGAATTTCGAATAGCGGTATATTACTGTTGCCTTTATTTAACATATTCAACTTTTAATTATATTTAGCCTTCCAACTTTGTGTTTATTAGAGTCACTGTTGAGTTTTATGTAAGCGAAACGCAAGTCTGGCGAACCAAATTATAAACCTATAGCCGGTTGTGAAAAGTAAAATAACAAAAATACCGAATTCTAAACGGAAAGTCCCTAAGCAAATGGCAAAATCAAAAGCCCACACACATCAAACAAATGAAAAATAACTGTCATATTCCTTACTTGATACAAGCATTTCCTCATGTAGAAAATGGTGGATTGAACCTGGTTTTATGCCTAGCTACACCTCTCACTTGTATGACAGTCGTATAAAATTCCATTATATTGACAACGATGGGTAAACAAAACAGACAGACACAATAGGTAAAAATGTCAAAAATACGGGTACAGCAGCCAACATTGTGTCACAATCTCAATCAACATAAAAACAAACAAACATGTCAACAAAGAAAAACAAAAATGCACATAGACAAAGCACATCAGCAAAAACGAAAGACAAGAATACAAAAATTTACCATAGCACAATGACACAATGACGGAATGTACAAGTACCGAGCCACGTCAAATGGATACCAACAAAAATAGACTAAACAGCAAAAGTAATAATCTACAAAAACAAATAAAATAATACTATAACGTTATTAAGATGATAAACAACGTCAGTACCTAGAATCCATATTTCAAGACCATCGTGTATTATTTGTGAAGTTGATACGGAATATTTATCAACAAGGTCTTGGTATCTTTCGATTAACATTTTTAGAAAAAGGACGAGACGTTCTTTGACATACTCCTGGTTCATCAACTTTCTGCTCGGACACTGGTGACGTTTTACAAAGTCTGAGTAGCAGCTGTGAGCTCTCGAATACCGAACGAGTTGGGAAATGTATATCCCATAGGCAGGCGAAGTTGGTATATTGCTACTAAGGTGGGGGAAATTGATAATTTAAAATTAAAATCGTGTCGTTTGTCATAGATACTGGTACTGAGATGACCGCTTATGTCAAATTCGAGGTATAAGTCTAAAAATGAGGCAGAGGAAGCCATGTCTGTTGTTTCTTAAATTTCTAGTTCTGGAGGATATATTAATGGAACCTAATCAGAAAAGTTTGGGTTGTTAATGGAAAGAAAACATCATCAATATATCTGAATGTGATATTAAATGATCTGACTTCTTTGATCTCCTCTTTTTGACAAGTGTCTGAAGGAACTCCGACTCATATGAAAATAAGAAGAAGTCGGCAAGGAAAGGAGCACAGTTCGTTCCCATAGGAATGCCGAAAATTTGTTGAAAAAGTCTACCTCAAAATCAACAAATATATTGTCAATAAGAAATTCCAGCATACTGATCACTTGTTCTTCTGTGTAGCAGGTTTTACTTTTTTGTTCACTATTAACAAAATATGACGTATGGTATCCCAAAATAATAAATTTATAGCGTATGCTACCATTTTTATGTTGAAAAGCAATGTGGATTATTTCTTTAAGACGATTTTTCAATTTCACATGGGGAATGGTGGTATACAGGGTTGAAAAATCAAAAGTTTTGATAAAACTAATTTCAGAGAAAGATCGAGATTTAAATTTATCCAGAAATTCTTTAGAGTTTTTTAGAATCCACCTATGGTTAATACCACTACTCAAGTAAACACACCTTAGGCATGCTTGACTAAAAAATCCAGGTGGGGTATAGCACGGATTTTTTTTTTAAATTGGTCCAAAGTTGGGGTCCGACACCCTACCCCACCCTAACTTTCAAAGTTAATAAAAATTTCCTACGGCAATACTTTTTTCCACACTAGGTGCAAATGAAAGTTAGGACCCTAAGGCATGCTTGACTAAAAAATCCAGTTGGGGTATAGCACGGATTTTTTTTTTTAATTGTCCAAAGTTTAGGTCCGACACCCCACCCCACCCTAACTTTCAAAGGAAAAAAAAATATCCTACGGTAATACTTTTTTCTACACTAGGTGCAAATGAAAGTTGGGACCCTTAGGCATGCTTGACAAAAAAATCCAGGTGGGGTATAGCACGGATTTTTTTTAAAATTGTTCCAAAGTTGGGGTCCGACACCCTACCCACCCTAACTTTCAAAGCTAATAAAAAATTTCCTAGGAAAATAATTTTTTCCACACTAGGTGCAAATGAAAGTTGGGACCCTTATGCATGCTTCACTAAAAATTCCAGGTGGAGTATAGAACGGATTTGTTTTTTAAATTGGTCCAAAATTAGGTTCCGACACCCTACCCCACCCTAACTTTCAGAGTTAATAAAAAATTTCCTACGGCAATAATTTTTTCCACACTAGGTGCAAATGAAAGTTGGGACCCTTAGGTATGCTTCACTAAAAAATCCAAGTGGGGTATAACACGGATTTTTTTTTAAATTGGTCCAAAGTTAGGGACCGACACCCCACCCCACCCTAACTTTCAAAGTTAATAAAAATTTCCTACGGCAATACTTTTTTCCACACTAGTTGGAAATGAAAGTTGGGACCCTAAGGCATGCTTGACTAAAAAATCAAGGTGGGGCATAAAATTTTTTTTTTTTAAATTCGTCCAAAATTAGGGTCCGACACCCTATCCCACCCTAACTTTCAGAGTTAATAACAAAATTCCTAGGGCAATACTTTTTTCCACACTAGGTGCAAATGATAGTTGGGACCCTTAGGCATGCTTGACTAAACAATCCAGGTGGGGTATAGCACGGATTTGTTTTTTAAATTGGTCCAAAGTTGGGGTCCGACACTCTACCCCATACTAACTTTCAAAGTTAATAAAAATTTCCTACGGCAATACTTTTTTCCACACTAGGTGCAAATAAAAGTTAGGACCCTAAGGCATGCTTGACTAAAAAATCCAGTTGGGGTATAGCACGGATTTTTTTTTTTAATTGTCCAAAGTTTAGGTCCGACACCCCACCCCACCCTAACTTTCAAAGGAAAAAAAAAATATCCTACGGTAATACTTTTTTCTACACTAGGTGCAAATGAAAGTTGGGACCCTTAGGCATGCTTGACAAAAAAATCCAGGTGGGGTATAGCACGGATTTTTTTTTAATTGTCCAAAGTTGGGGTCCGACACCCCACTACACCCTAACTTTCAAAGGTAATAAAAAATATCCTACGGTAATAATTTTTTCTACACTAGGTGCAAATGAAAGTTGGAACCCTTAGGCATGCTTGACTAAAAATTCCAGGTGGGGTATAGAAAGGATTTTTTTTTGAATTGGTCCAAAATCAGGGTCCGACACCCTACCCCACCTAAACTTTCAGAATTAATAAAAAAAATTCCTACGGCAATACTTTTTTCCACACTAGGTGCAAATGAAAGTTGGGACCCTTAGGCATGCTTGACTAAACAATCGAGTTGGGGTATAGCACTGATTTTTTTTTTAAATTGGTCCAAAGTTGGGGTCTGCACCCTACCCCACCCTAACTTTCAAAGTTAATAAATAATTTCCTATGGCAAAACTTTTTACCACACTAGGTGTAAATGAAAGTTGGGACCCTTAGGCATGCTTGACTAAAAAATCCAGTTGGGGTATAGCACGGATTTTTTTTTTAATTCTCCGAAGTTGGGGTCCGACACCCCACCCCACCCCAACTTTCAAAGGTAATAAAAAATATCATACGGTAATACTTTTTTTCTACACTTGGTGCAAATGAAAGTTGGGACCCTTAGGCATGCTTGACTCAAAAATCCAGGTGATGTATAGCACGTATTTTTTTTTAAATTGGTCCAAAGTTGGGATTCGACACCCTACCCCACCCTAACTTTCAA